ATATATATATATATATATATATACAGTTTAATTATAATACAGATTCAAATGCTTGAAGAACTATGCAATGTCGCCATCGCAATATATTGTGTCGAATCATAGGGCCGCAAAGGGTTAAGCAAGTTTTACATTCTACGCTTATTCAGTCGACTGGACTAGCATCGCTATAATGGGCTTAGCGGATAACGTCCAAGTGTATATTATCCAAACAAGGAAAAGCCCGAATATTAATTTCAGCAGACAATCGGCGAAGTATAGATATGCGAAGACCCGTCTCGCTCGTGGCAGCGTCGAAGGATCGTCCTTCAAGAAATATTTCCTCGTACCTAAGATGTATATCAACAAATATTCGTTCCAACAGATGAGTTTTGTGTCCATGAAAAATGTCTCTTTATCGGCAGGACTCAATCGATGCTGCAAATTGCGCATATTGTCGTTACTGCAATTAAATTTGCGTATTAGTGGAATGAGAAAAAGATAGACGATCAATTATTCCATCAAATTGATACGTATTCAAACTATATAAATTTAACTTCTCACCGAAAGACCCACTGCTTCATCGTGTAATACTGAAGCAACTCTAATCCGGATTTTGCTCTAGTTTGTACTCGCACCAGGAAGGGCTTATTTCCGGTGACGACGAGTAGAATGTCTAACAGGTAGGCTGGTATAGTTTGAAAGAATATGACGGCAATCCAGTGTAAAAGTCTGGAGGAGGTCAGTCTTCCACCGGGATACCACAGCGGTTCTGAAAGAAACGTTATTGTATGTTAATAAATATCTTACATATTTTTTGCAAATCGTTACGAAGAACGGTGCAGTAAAATATTCCTTACGCGAAAAGGGATTCTCGAGTACGTGTTTCTTCCCGATCTCTAAAGCGTCACCCCAAGAAATTGGGTTCTCCTGATTCGTCGTGGCGTTTAAAATCGTCGGCTTGGTAGACTTGTCCGTTCCGACTTGCCAAGCCAGAGCGATCGTCGCGTTTACGGCCATATCGCAGGGTATTAAGTCAGACAAGTAATCCGCGTTGCAGAGCATGGACCGTATCACCCCTTTACCCGCGCCGATCATTAATCCGGTTGGGCCGTTCATGTTGTCCACCCAGCCAGGCACAGGCTCTTTGTAAGATGCCGTCACTAAAATCAGATCAATATTATTTTATTAATAATAATCAAGACGATCTTGTAAGAAAAAAATATGTCGAAAATGTAGAATTCCACACAAAGTTTCTATCCATACGATTAGACCCCAGGGTACTTTACTTTATTTAAAAATTGAGAAATAAACTGGATATGGAAGGATTAGAGAATTTAAAATGCCTTCTGTCAAGTCAACACTGGTGAGTCGGACTAATGTAAGATTGATGCGGGTTAACATGGGCCACATTGGCCAGGCTATAACGCCGTCTAGAACAATTCGCTCATCTAACTCAGCAAACATAGATCATAACTACAATATTGCAGCAACATTGTAATATTTCTGCAATATAGCTGGAATGTTACAATGTTGCCACAATATTACAGTTATAATCTGTATTTGCTGCAATATCGTAGTTATAATCGGTGTTTGCTGGGTTTTTATACGTTTTTTTTTTACGGAACAAATAATTCATCCGTTTATACGATTTTCCACTTCGTTTACTTTCATTATTTTTGTGAAATAAATACTCGTGTTTTACACGCTTTTTATTTGTATTGGTATCCCCATTTACACGATTTTCAACGGTGTAAAAAAACCTACATCGAAATCAATTAAACTTCAGTTGCCCTTGAAATTTATTGCATCTACGTCTTTTAGTTAGATATATATATAAGAGATATGTTTGTTGTGTCTTAAGAGTTCATTTTCGACCCAAGCGGGTAATGCGAACCTTTGTTCCGTTCTTTATCCGTTCTTATTGACAAAATTAGAGAAATCACCGACTCGAAAGATTTTTGTGTGCAGGCCGATATAAAAATAAATAAATACAAATAAGTATCGTTTTCCGCGTTTAATATTCTGATGGAACTTTTGAACAACGGACTCTCACATGTATATGCTTTATCAGGATTTCTCGATTATTGCTGATCCACGAAACTTCGTATTCAATATAGGGACAATATCTCTATGTCTACACAGTATTTATTTTTTATTACTGATTTTCCTCTAGAGTTTGGAGTCTTCGGCACATTTCAATTTTAAATTGCCGCGGATCAGACGTATTTAACAAGAACTCACGTTTTCAATTTTCCCCTCTTCTGAAGGCTCTTTAATCAAACAGGAGAAAAAAAGATTTTGTCGAGATTATTAACCGCTCGGTGGCCGTTAACATGCGGTTTTATTACTCGCTTCCTATTTTAAGAGATTATCTCGTCGAAATGGAACGAGGAATTGTACGTGAAGTTCACAGACGTAACAATTACTTAGGCTTAACGATACCTCAAAAACTTATTAAGTTTATAGGATTGCGCATGTCCGATGTTGAATGACCGTAAATATGACCTTCGCTTGTTATAAAATATGAAGATTTATTTTGTGATTTACGGCTCTCTGACCCTGCGATGTTTCTCATTCTGTAAGAGTTTCCTTTTTATCGAGTTTTAATTTATACATTTAAACTAGACGATTATCTTCTCTCGTAATTGTTTGATTACAGAGTTATCGGAATTTAATTCTACATTCTTTCTTTGTGGTTTCAAGAACACCGGAAGCTTAAATCTAACGTTTCTTTATTACTTTGAATAGGGATCGTTATTTCAACCCATATCGCCATTTTTGTATGTTTGAAGGATATCTATAGCCGTTGTTTTTTCGGTTTGCATAAATTAGATATTCTTATAGCAATGATGATATTCTCTATACAAAAAGAAAGAATCGTGGAAGTATAAAAGACAAAAAATTTCCGAAAAAATTGATTGCAAAAAGATTGATAAAATTGATTTTTTAAAAGACAGTTTGTATATGAGAAAAAAAGAGTTACATTTCCTTCTTATTTTATTATATTTCCTTTCATGTAGACTCATTTTTTCCCCGATTTTACCAATCATTCTGTAGCAAAGATAAAAAATATTTTTTGTCCGGGAATAGTCATTTAATTTTGTTTTACATAAACAATCTTAATGCTTAAATTCCAATTAAAAGTTAGTTATTAATTACATATTATGTTGGATTGTTTTCCACTTTGTTAATATTTGAAGTCATTACGTAACAAATTTATTCAATATTTTCTATAAAAAAAAGTAAAGAGAAATTAAAGAAATCAAGTGGATATTCTCGATAGTAAAAAAAATTAAGTGTGACTGACTTTATTTTTTTGTTACTGGAGTACAAAAATTATCCTAATTGACTTCCTGGGTTAATGATGTAACGAATCGTGGACGATTCTTTAAGAAGAAGAAATATGTCGAAACTATAGAATAAATCTTTCCATGCGAAGCTTTTTCCGAAAAAAAATTGATTATAAAAGTTAATAAAATTGATTTTCCTAAATAGGATAATTCGTATATGAAAAAATTTTATAATATTTTTAGCTTATTTTTTATGTATAATCATTTCCTTGCCAATTTTATCAACTATATATAGCTATATATAACTATATACATATATTCTATGCGACAAGTGTCCAAAATACTTTTAAGAAAAGAAATTCCTTACCTATCGACGGACGTATGATTCCTACGGGTAGTCCGCATCTCGACACGAAGTCCTCGCTGAGTGACTTACTATAGGCGTACGTGTTTGGCTGCTCGCCCAGTAATTTCGATCTCATTACATCCAGGTTATCATCTGTCATTGTATTGACAATGTGAATGACGTTTTCTGGCGAAACGCTGGCTAGGTAAGGGCGTTCCTCCAATACTGGCTCGCCACATTGGCAAAAAGACGTCGAAATGTGAACGAACGACTCGAGTAGGGGCATCTGAAATTTCACTGTTTTTTATTCTCTTGCTCTGTTATCGAGTAAAAAAAAATAAATGGATACCAATACAAAAAAAAGCGTAAACGAAAAACTATGTAAAAATATTTATTTTACATACATATGCACAAAAATAATGATAATGAAAGTAAACGAAAGTGAAAAATCGCATAAACGGATGAATCATTTATTCCGTAAAAAGAAACGCATAAAAACCCAGCAAACATAGATTACAACTACGATATTGCAGCAAAATTGTAATATTTCTGCAATATAGCTGGAATGTTACAATGTTGCCGCAACATCGCAGTTATAATCTGTATTTGCTGGACGGTATCGCGTAAATCAAAATAGTACGCTAAGAAAAAAAATTGTTGATTTAAAAAAATATTATTTTATTCAAATAAATGCGGCGGCCATGGGCTGTCAAGCAAACATTTGTCAATTCAACAAAATACTTGTTAATTCACAAAAATATTATGTTAATATGATGTATCATGTTATCGATGTATGTTTAATTCAAAAACATATATAATTAATCAAAGAAAACTGTCAACAAAACGCATTTAGATATTTTAACAACTTTTTTTTTCTCAGTGTGTATTGAGGGAATGTTAAAAATATCATTACTTAAAGAGTGTTTCAGAATTCGCTCACGGAACGCACATTGTAATCCCTCGTGTTAGAACAAGCAACTGTTTTCTCTGTCAAAATTGCATCCTAGCAGTAGTTAATCGGTCTGTTTTATTCAATACCAGATACCTGAACTAATGTGCACTCTTTGCATTTAAAGTGAAATGGTATATGTTTGATATTTGATAAAAGTAAGAAGAAAAGTTCTAGTGCAGTCTAGTGCAGGAACAGGAAACAGACCTAATGAATGCAATTTGAAGCTAACGTCACGCGTGAATCAAGCGCGGCGCGCGCTCAATGTGTGCGTTATTTTATTATTACTTTCAGACTATAAAGATTTCATAATAATTGAAGGGAACTTGCTGCAAGTGCTAACTCACATTTTAAAGTGGAGAAAATGGACTTTAAAGTTCATGACTTTAATTTTAGAGTTTATATCCTCCGTTGTCACAAAATATGAAATAGATCACTGTTGTAACAAGCCTTTCGATTATGCATGATATTTAAATATCTAAATAACGATTATATATTATTTGAACTCGTTTAATAAAAGAAAATTTTCTAACTCTTTATCATTGAAAGTAAAATAAGTTTTATATCCACGAAATAATATACATATTCACGTGTACAAATAAAAGATCTACGTTTTGAGTATAAATACTATAAAAAACCGGCAACTTTAGATCAGCTTTTCAGGGTCACAAATAAATCTTTAAGATGTTAAAACAACATTCTTTGGATCTAATCTAATTATCTAGTCTACTTATTTTACTTCCAGTTGTTGCGCTTTCGAAATATCAGTTAAAATTTTTTTTCATTGACTGAGTTGTATTCGAAATAGCGATATTTATGATTCACGTATTATAGTTGTTATGAAATCTTTAGAAAGATAATAGTATATAATAAAACAGCGTTTATATGTTCAATACGCGCCATTCCTGATTCATGCGTAATTTAGTGCGTTCATTCGTTAACTTTAAATTGCACTCATTAAAAAATTACTGACAGTTACAGCAATTTTGCTAGAGGAAAAAATTATTTTTTTTTTATACGAGTGATCACAGTGTGCATTCCACGTACCCAAATTCTTTCTCTCTCTCTCTCTCTCTCTCTCTCTCTCTCTAGGACACTCTGTATAACTGAAATTTTTATAATATTGATAAAAAATTAATTTTCAATAATATCACTATTATACCGTCATATTACTATTATTACATTATTGAACGTAATTAAACTTTCGTGGTGTATGCTTGTATTATATTATAAAAAGTAATAAAAGAGTTACAAAAGTATATCGTAATTAAGGCGATACCGACTGGAATACCGACATTTGTATTCTAATGGATAACTCCGAAACGAGTGAACGGATTTAAAAATTTACAGGATTGAAATAGACATAAAATGTCATCGCTAGGTATATATGAGTAGTAAAAACGAAAAAATATTAAAAAATTACCTTTTTGGAGAATCACAACCTGTCATCTGACGTAAACATTTTATTGGTACAAAAGTTCTGCAGCTCATATGTACAAAAAAAGTACCTAGCGCGCATTGGATTACTTGCACGAATAATACAAGACGTTTTGAGCTACGATTGGAAGCATAGAAAAAAAGTTGTTTATTAGAATACAATTTGTAGTAATTTGTATGCTCGGCTAAAATAAAGACAGCAAAAATTGCGTCTGGCAGTAAGTGCCGGATTTTCCAAGAGATGGCACTTCAATTAGTTAAATAAGAACATTCCACGTGTTTGAGTGAGATCAGAAGCTATTGTAAGAAGTTCATTTAGAGATACCACTGACACTGAAGAGTCTACTTTATCGACCTCGTGCAAATTTTTCCGACCTTTCGGCATCGCCTTAATTATATGTATAATAATGGTTGTAATTATAAACATTTGAATTTATATATACATAATTTATTTAATATATATATATATATATATATATATATATATATACACATATATTAGGGTGGGCCGAAAAAAATTTTTTTTTGAAAATTGATTAGTAATACCCCCCAAAAGTTAAATTAAAATTTTATCGAAATTAATTAATATCTTCAAATTGCCTCTCGACTTTGAAATTAGTAAGTTTATGCATCTCTTACAAATTTTTAAAATAACTGTGTATTTTCTTTACACCAATCGATTCATCTCATTATTCTGTGTCTAAAAATATTAGGTACCATTATTAAGAAATCAATAGTTTACTAGATATTTCATATTATATATCGAAATATGGTATGATAAAGAATAAAATATCTCGTAAAATATTGATTTTTCGATAACTTTACCTTAATACTTTTATATGCAGAATAATGAGAGGAATCGTATTATGTAAAAAAATACATAATTTTTTTTGTTTAAAAAAATCGATGTGATTTTGATCTGATCTTAATGACGCCACCTAAAATAAAATTAATGATATTTTCTTATGTACCTCCCCAAACTGTACAATTTTTATTTGAAACATTTTTTCATATCTATCGTATCATATTTTTTGAGAAATTTTATATATTATTTAAGAATATATTTCGTATCTGTCATTGTGAAATGTATATTTCTGACCTCGAATTCGTTCTGACCAGAAAACAACATGTATACATGTAAACAATGTTAAACTGTATTGAAATTCAAATATTTTTTCAAATTTTGACACATCTATGTGAAGAATACATAAACTTACTAACTGCAAGGACGAAGGGCAACATGAAGATATTAATCGATTTTGATGAATTTTATTTAAATCATATTAAGGTCCACAGCTAACTTTTGAGGGATATTACTGATCGATTTTCAAAAAAAAATTTTCGGCCCACCCTAATACACTATACATATATATATATGTTAATTAATGATAAAAATATGAGAATAGTATAATGGTAATTATTTAATAATGATTTGATATTAATGTCAATATAATAATATTGATAATATAAAATTTTGTACATGTGCGTGCGTATGTGTGTGTTATATTGGCGTTTATACCAGTTTTGATGTTTATTTCGCTTATTACTACGTAAAATTGAACAACACTATAACAATAATATAATCAATATTTTTTGCACTCCCTTAATCAGTACTTCGGACATTCTTACCTGTTTTGCTAGCGCTACGACGTTCATAGTGCCCACGGTGTTCATGTTGACAGCGGTTTTCAATGGCAAGTCGAACCTGACATTAGCGGCCATATGAAAGACGACGGAAACCTTATTCGTGAGGAGTTCCTTATCCGCGACGGATAAAGCGAGCTGCTGGACGGTTGTATCACCGACTATAACTATCAGTTTCTTCAGTCGTTCCGGGTGCTGTTCTCTAAGAATCCTAAATGGCTCTTGCTGCAAGCACAATTTCCATTCAGTGAATGAATCTTCTCCTCATCCGTTCGAGATAATTTTTGCCTCGAAGATAATATATATCCTGCATGCTAATTTATAACTAATTAACGCGAGCAGCGCGGACAAGTGCAGGACGACAGAGATATTTGTAATATAATCGATAGAATTAATAGAGCGCGTCCTCAGTCCGATTTAATTTACAATTGAATATTGTTCACGGTCAATCGATTCGACGTCGATTTATTTCGACTGAAAAAAGTGCCTATAAATTTCCTTTTTAACACGTATATATATCTAAGTGTTCGAAAGGGATTTGACAGAAAAACGTTAGAAACGTTTATCGATTTCGCGCGCGGACTCGCGCCTTGGATTCAAGGACACGAGTTCTTGCCAAACTCTCCTCTTTACACTATAATGACGGTCACTCGAAAGACTAGGAAAAGTGACGAAATAATTTGCAAAATTTCTTTTTTCTTTCGACACGATCGATGTCAAGGTGACTTTTGCGACGATTCATTTCGATCTACCAGGTACACGGGTGTAATTACGTATACGACACGTGTTCGTACAGTTATTTCCCGTTTCGTTCCGGTTAATTTCAATATTCATAGAAACTACCAGGGAAATATTAATTGTATCGTATCTGATATTTCGCGAAGGACGCGAATGAAAAAAAATGCGTGTAATAACAAGCAAGAGGAGAGACCTTCGGGAGACCAAAGCGCGTGTACGCTGCTTCACGCGAGATTAAAAAGTTAGCGCGCGCGTTCACGTTGCCGCCGCTGTACAGTAACATTCCTCGATTACCACACGTAAGCTAGTAACATAAATACCTTTCGTTATATTCTACGTAATCGGCAGGTCCATTAAAGTTTAGAAGAGAAGCGATTGCATTTGCGGCGCGCGGCGGCGTGTTGCAATCGCTGAACCTTCGGCGCGCTTTAAACGAATCGCCATTAAAAAAGTCGATAAGTAGCTTACGAAAGCTAAAATGTGCGAAGAGAGGCATCAGAATTACAATAAATCACTTTCGCGAGAATCATCGCGACGATGCGATAGGGAAAAATGTGTTGCGTGTCCGTACCGTGTTGCCTCACCGTGTTGTCGACTCGCGCTTGCTACTTTACGTGCAGTAGAAAACATTTTGTACTTTTGTCAAAAGCGGTCCACTCAAGTCTTTGCTATAAATTTTTATATCGAACTTTATGCAAGTGTTAATTTAAAATAATGCATTGAAAAAAAACAATTGTTGAAAAACGCAAAATTTGTTTCATCTTACCAAAATATTTAAGTCCGATACGTTCAACTAAACGTTACTACGATGAAACAAAATAATTTGTTACTATTATAAACAAAATACTATTTTTTAACTAAACCATTTTGTTTCAACAAAAATTTATCGTATTTAACTCAACCGTTCGATTAAAAATACACCATATTTGTTATCCCCATCAGTATTATTTAATCAGTTTGATACTTGAAACTTTTGAACAAGTATAATATTACTTGAATAACTAAATAGCACGCAAACACAAATAAATACTACTAGTATTTCGAACAAAATAATTTAATTGAATTGGTTTAGTTAATTCTTGATTAAAAAATTTTGATGACATGAAGGTTGACATGAATGAACTATATTCTTTTCTTTGTGTAAACTAAAGAATTGTTGAATCAACCATTAGATCAAACAACTATACAAATTTAGTTCGTACAATCAATTTTTTTTCAATATGCACAGAAAGAACAATTTTGCTGGATCCAGATTTGAAAATAATTTTGGTTCAATAATCAAAATTTTGTTGGAAACTCAAAATAAATGCTATTAAAACATTTTATAACAATGCTTATCATTTTTAACATTTCAAACAAATTTTTTGATGATTCAACAAGAATTAATTTTTAGATCTGTATTCGGCAAAATTTTTAGATCTTTCAACAAAATCGTTCTTTTCGTGTGTGATTACGTTTGAATATTTTTTTATGTTAAAATTGATGTTTAACATTTCTAGTGTTAAAATAACACTGAATAAATAATACATAAAAGTAATGTTTTAAAACGTAAATTCTAAGACATATGAATGTGGAATGTGTTAATTTAATATGTCAAGTGTTAAGTTTACTGAAAAAATATATGTTTCCACAGTTTGCTCCCAAATTGATCAAAGTGTTACATTTTTCTGTTAGCTTTTACGTAATGATATTGTGCCACTTTCCAACATATATTCATCTTTGTGTGTTAAATCAACACAAAAATTTGGGCAAACCATTTGACACATGCGATATGTAGTTAAATTTTACACAAATTTTCCAACTGTGTGACGACAGCTGCATGCATGCGACTTGAAGAGATCGGGCAATGCGGCCCGTTCAATTACCCGCTTCGGCACTAGACGCGTATATATTTGCGCCGAGATGTCTTCACTTGTACCGGTAATTGTCCCTTTCTCTCCCCTGACCCCGACGCCGTATAGATAGCTTGTATTTACATACTAAGCACTTACATAAGATACACCGCAAATCGGGTATTTCTTTTCTCGGCGAGTATTTACATAACATTTGTTTGAAAAAGACCATTCTTTTCGAATTATCTTTCATTAGATCCCTCGCCTAACACGCATTGGGGTGAAACATCGAAGAAAATTCTTTGTTGAGAACACTTGTGAATACACGGGATTTACTTCGTATACGCGAACTTTCATGACATTTACAGAATCGTTTCAGAATCTTTGATTTGCGATGATTGATTTATTCATTTTATTGTTCTCCAGCTAAAAAGATGGCGCATGAATTAATTTCTCGTCCGCACCGAGTTCCAGAATTATTTAATAAAATTACGAATTTAAAAAATTGAAGAATAAATAAATGGCATTTCTCGGAGATAATAATATATAATATATAAATATAAATTTATAGTAATAAAAGAAACTTTATTTGCACCGTGATTACATTCGGATTGACTTGTACATTTCGATATAATTTTTATCGGATGTTTAAAATTGCAACGGTATAATAATAGAATGTACGTGAATCTTACTCTATCGCAACAACAATCCGCTTCCGGGGTATTTTAAATGCGGCGTCTAGTTTGACAAAATTATCTCCTGACTGCATGCAAGATACAAAGCGCAACGCGGTAACGGTACAAGGATTTCTTCATTACTTCACATATTTGCCGATAGTGTCATACGATATCCTTACTAAACTCGTAGGAATCATATGACTCGCTTACATAAATGTACATTATCTCTTATTAAAATTCTCACTAAAGCTGCAAGATGGAATATTAAAGGAAGTGCCGAGATTTGCAGTATGTAACACGCAATATTTATTTAAGTGAGATAACTTCTGCATTTAGGGAATAATTAATTTTACAATTTTTTAATTAACAAAAATTCTAGAAGAATACCTGCAATATTATGTTTTGGAAATTTTAATTTTATTATTAATTAGACATCAAAGATTTAAATTATATTTTAATTTATTCTTATTGCTATACATTGAGAGAAAAATGTTTTGTATTTGTGACTATTTTTGTAATTGCACAGTAAAATAATTATAATGGTTAGAAACTCCATTTTTATAGTCGTTACTGTTACAATGTTAGTAATAAGATTCTCTTATATTTATATATTTCTACCAACTATGAAAAAATTGTAGTTTAAATCATGATAATTTCACATATTAATGCAATGAAATATCGACATATTTGATTGGTAAATAAAATAAACATTTTTATGTAGTAAATGGTGACTATGACTATTTATGGTGACTTTAATACTATTTTCTTAGCATCTGTTTACTATTTACACAGTTTACTATTTATTACAATAATAATTAAAAAATGAAAATAAAAAGTAAACAAAAAAATTAATTATTTTCACGATAGTTGCATAAATACGTATCATAGCTGCAATGATCGTAATGCAGTAAAAACAACTACAATCTGATGAATTTGAATGAAACTATATGATTAAAACAACTATAAATATATAATTGGCATAACAAATCATTTTTTATTGTAAGTATATAACTTATTGTTAGATAACATGTCAGTATATCCAGATAAGATAAATTATGGTAATTGCAACCATTTTTCCTCTCTCAGTGTAATCTGTGCAGTGTCAAGAGACACGGTAATGTCTTGTATTAAGTCTTGCAACAAAGAGGTAAATTTATACATCTATATACGTAACCAGACTTGTTTGACTAAAAATAAATCTTAAATCATCGTAATACCTAAATCGATCGAATTGGGCTTGATTGTCAGGTGTGATTTGGATAATGAAAAGATCTTTACGTTTGCTTTGCATGTCTTACCCAATGAAAAATGACCGCCAATTCGATCGAAATGACAGTTATTTTTCACTGGGTATGAATAGAGATTACAATTTATAGCTTGAATTTTAATTTAAGAGCATCGATTAAGAACCTCTTTTTATTAAATATATATTTAAATCTTGTTTTAGGATTATTGACTTTAAAATATTGTGCTATCGAAGTAATATTCTATCTAGATTAATATTCTATATTTAATATGCGCTGCACACTATATACATATATTTTATATATGTATATATAATTTATTATATCTATAAGTTATTATATCTCAAACAAAGCAATAGGGGATTAATTCAAAGTAAAAAATATATAATGCAAGGAAATTTAATATGCGAATGAAAATAATATCTTTATTATTAATAATAATAAATTATTATTATTAATACTAAATTTTTTTAATAATACAATAATAAAATTTTGTGTATATTAAAAAATATATAATTGTATCTAAAATATATAAATATAAATAGAAAAAGTGTAAAATAGAAGTATACAATACATGTACGTATATGTGTAAATCATTCTATCATTATTTCATATAAAATTCAATTTCATATAAAAATATAAACGTCGCGGGGCAGGAGAGATTTATTAGATGCAAGTTAGCATCAAGTTCTTATTAAATTGATTAGTAATTTAATACGTGATAATACGGTTCTGTTTTAATCATGGGGGTTGCGTTGAATCCAGAATTAACGGCACGCAGTTTAGTCGAAGCTAGGATATCTACGTATGTAAAATCACGTAATAAAATAATTGAAGCACCATGATCCTGCTATGACCGTGCATTGGCCTTTTCTTATTCGTTGTGTGCGAAACACTTATACGGTTGTAATAGATATACAGGGTGTCTGGTACTCAATGGTTCAGCGCTTGTGGGCAGCTATAGTGTGGATCAAACTAAACAAGAAAGTTCTCTATTATTTTGTGATCTTCGCAATAGTTATCGAGATAC